TGTCCTGCTCAGGATCTTTATTAATGACTTAGATGAAGGGCTAGAAGGCAGGATCATCAAGTTTGCAGACGACACCAAATGGGGAGGGAGAGCCAAGACTCCAGAGGACAGGAGCAGGACTCAAAGGGATCTTGACAGATTAGAGAGATGATGGGCCAAAACTCACAAAATGAAGTTCAACAGGGACAAATGCAAGAGACTCCACTTAGGCAGAAAAAACGAAATGCAAAGAGACAGAATGGGGGACATTGAGGCCTGGCCCGAGAACAGGACGTGTGGAAAAGATCTTGGAGTCCTTGACAGATTAGAGAGATGAATGGCCAAAACTAACACAATGAAGTTCAACGGGGACAAATGCAAGATACTCCACTTTGGCAGGAAAAACGAAATGCAAAGAGACAGAATGGGGGACGATGAGGCCTGGCTTGAGAGGGGAAAAGACCTTGGAGTCCTTGACAGATTAGAGAGATGGGACAAAACTCACAAAATGAAGTTCAACAGGAACAAATGCAAGACACTCCACTTAGGCAGAAAAAATGAAATGCAAAGAGACAGAATGGGGGACAATGAAGCCTGGCTCGAGAGCAGGACGTCGGAAAAAGACCTTGGAGTCCTCGTGGACAACAAGTTAAACATGAGCCAGGAATGTGATGTGGCAGCAAAAAAAGCCAATGGGATTTTGGCCTGCATCAAGAGGAGCCTAGTGTCTAGATCTAGGGAAGTCATGCTCCCCATGCTCTATTCCGCTTGGTTAGACCACACCTGGAATATTGTGTCCAATTCTGGGCACCACAATTCAAGAGAGATATTGACAAGCTGGAATGTGTCCAGAGGAGGGCGACTAAAATGATCAAGGGTCTGGAGAACAAGCCCTATGAGGAGCGGCTTAAGGAGCTGGGCATGTTTAGCCTGAAGAAGAGAAGGCTGAGAGGAGATGATAGCCATGTATAAATATGTGAGAGGAAGCCACAGGGAGGAGGGAGCAGATCAAGGGTCTGGAGAACAAGCCCTATGAGGAGCGGCTTAAGGAGCTGGGCATGTTTAGCCTGAAGAAGAGAAGGATGAGAGGAGATATGATAGCCATGTATAAATATGTGAGAGGAAGCCACAGGGAGGAGCTTCTGCTTCCCTGGAGACTAGGACGCAATGGAACAATGGCTTCAAACTACAAGAGAGGAGATTCCATCTGAACATGAGGAAGAACTTCCTGACTGTGAGAGCCGTTCAGCAGTGGAACTCTCTGCCCCGGAGTGTGGTGGAGGCTCCTTCTTTGGAAGCTTTAAACAGAGGCTGGATGGCCATCTGTCAGGGGTGATTTGAATGCAACATTCCTGCGTCTTGGCAGAATGGGGTTGGACTGGATGGCCCATGAGGTCTCTTCCAACTCTTTGATTCTATGATTCTAATTCCCGAATAACAGAGGGATGCAATCCTCAATGCTTCTCTATGCAGACAAGTGGGAGAGGGAAGAATGCACCTTTATATACGTTTGCAGCCAAGTTTCGCTCAACTTTGGCCCTCCTCCTCCAGGTGTTTACAACTGCACAACCTTCGACCTTGATCTCCCGTTCTGAAATACAAAGCATCTTTCTTTCCTTGATCATTTATTATGACTATTTTCATGGTTTCCTCCTTTCGGTCCACAAGCGCACGAACAATTTCAACTAAAAGGAGGAAACCATGGAAATGAACACAATTTGGCAACCGGTATTTAAAAAATTCTAAAATCAGGACAGTAAATAAAGAACAACACACAAAAAATTCCAGACAAGATCAATCAGGGTTAGCTAACAACTACCAACAAAGGATTCCCCCAGGCAGGAAGTTGCCAGGCTTTGAAGCTCCAAGGCTATTCAATGCTAATCTGGGTGGCCAATTGCAGCATTCCCACTTGCCTCCGACAGACAAGAGTTCTTTCTCCCACCCTGGACATCATTCCACAGGTATTTAAACCCCACTTGCCTAGTTTCCAACAGACCTCACAACCTCTGAGGATTCCTGCTATAGATGTGGGTGAAATGTCAGGAGAAAATGCTTCTGGAACATGGCCAGACAGCCCAGAAAATGCACAGCAACCCTGGTATGAAGAAAGATACTACTACTACTTCCTGGCATGAAGAAAGATGCTACTACTACTTCCTGGCATGAAGGAAGATACTACTACGACTTCCTGGCATGAAGGAAGATACTACTACTACTTCCTGGCATGAAGAAAGATACTACTACTACTTCCTGGCATGAAGGAAGATACTACTACTACTTCCTGGCATGAAGGAAGATACTACTACTACTTCCTGGCATGAAGGAAGATACTACTACTACTTCCTGGTATGAAGGAAGATACTACTACTACTTCCTGGCATAAAGGAAGATGCTACTACTACTTCCTGGCATGAAGGAAAATGCTACTACTACTTCCTGGCATGAAGGAAGATACTACTACTGCTTCCTGGCATGAAGGAAGATACTACTACAACTTCCTGGCATGAAGGAAGATGCTACTACTATTTCCTGGCATGAAGGAACATACTACTACTACTTCCTGGCATGAAGGAACATACTACTACTACTTCCTGGCATGAAGAAAGTTACTACTACTACTTCCTGGCATGAAGGAAGATAGTACTACTACTACTTCCTGGCATGAAGGAAGATACTACTACTACTTCCTGGCATGAAGGAAGATACTACTACTACTTCCTGGCATGAAGGAAGATACTACTACTACGACTACTATTTATTTACGATATTTCTATCTGACCTTTCTTGAACCCGATGGTGACTCAAAGTGGCCACTGCTACTACTAATAATTATATAATAACTATATAATATAATAGAAAATAATATATAATGCATAATAATAGTAATAGTAATAACACTACTACTCCTATCATAAGATATATAATAACTAGCTGTCCCCTGCCACACATTGCTGTGGCCCAGTCTGTGTATTTGTATGTATATATATGGTTTTGTACATGTGTTGTAATGTTTGTTTGGGGGTTTTCTTGGTTTTTAAGTCTCTTCCGCTGTGTTTTCCAGTGTTTTTATGAGTGACCGTCACTCGTTGGCTTGAGAGGTCTATTGTGTCCAAATTTGGTGTCAATTGGTCTAGTGGTTTTTTAGTTGTTAATCCCACAAACGAACATTACAGTTTTATTTATAGAGATAGTAACATAATAAAAATGTAATACAAAAAATAATAGTAATAAAACTATTATTTATAAAGCTATTATTATTATTATTATTATTATTATTATTATAGTTTTACACAGTTTTAAACAGTGGATTTTAGTGTCGAGATAAATGACTTTAATGTCACTAAATAAATAAATACTATTCATTAATAAATAAATACTATTAATATATTAATAGCAATAAGACACTCCCACTAACACAGTAATATGACAATAATAGTAATATAATATAATATATAATATATGTAAAATAATTGTAGTAAAACTATTACATAGTTTTACTATTAATTGTAATATAACATTAATACAACTATTAATATTAATATAACATTAACAGTAATCAAAAACACTATCCCTATAATAATAATAATAATAATAATTATTATTATTATTATAAGCACTATTATCCCTATAACAATAATAATAAACACTATTCTCCCAATAATAATAATAATAATAATAAACACTAATACAATAATAATATAAACACTAAATAAATAAATACTATTAATAAATACATAAATACTATTAATATATTCATAGCAATAAGACACTCCCACTAACACAATAATATGACAATATTTATAGTAATATAATATATAATATATGTAAAATAATTGTAGCAAAACTATTATACAGTTTTACTATTAATTTTAATATAACATTAATACAACTATTAATATTAATATAACATTAACAGTAATCAAAAACACTATCCCTATAATAATAATAATAATTATTATTATTATTATTATAAATACTATTATCCCTATAACAATAATACAGTTTTACTATTAATTTTAATATAACATTAATACAACTATTAATATTAATATAACATTAACAGTAATCAAAAACACTATCCCTATAATAATAATAATAATAATAATTATTATTATTATTATAAACACTATTATCCCTATAACAATAATAATAAACACTATTCTCCCAATAATAATAATAATAATAATAAACACTAATACAATAATAATATAAACACTAAATAAATAAATACTATTAATAAATACATAAATACTATTAATATATTCATAGCAATAAGACACTCCCACTAACACAATAATATGACAATATTTATAGTAATATAATATATAATATATGTAAAATAATTGTAGCAAAACTATTATACAGTTTTACTATTAATTTTAATATAACATTAATACTACTATTAATATAACATTAACAGTAACCAAAAACACTCCTAACCCTATAATAATTATAAACACTAATACAATAATAATAATAACAATAAACACTAATCATACAATAATATATTATAACACAAATACGAGTAATAATACAATATAAATTATAATGTGACTTTATAGGCTATTATATAATTTTACTATTAATGTTAATATAACATTAACAGCAATTAAAAACACTCCTATCCCTGTAATAATAATAATAAACACTGATAGAATAATAATACTAATAAACACTAATCATACAATAATATATAATAACACAAATAATACAAAAGAAATTACAAAGTGACTTTATGGAATAATACATAAAATATTACTAATATAGCAATAATTAGTGGTATTCTTCCAAGTCCAAATAGAAAGAAAACAACTAACTCAAGCATGGTTCCAGCTTGGGCCCTGCCTCCCTCCCTCCCACTGGGTGTTTTGGACTACAACTCCCACAATTCCTAACAGCCTACCGGCTGTTAGGAATTGTGGGAGTTGTAGTCCAAAACACCCAGTGGGAGGGAGGGAGGCAGGGCCCAAGCTGGAACCATGCTTGAGTTTAGAGTTCAAAGAGAAGCCAAGGCTCACCTCGGCGTTGGCGTTCCCTCCTCCTGCGTCGGCCGGCAGCCCCAGCACCCTCCCCGGCGAGGCGGAGGCATTGGCGCCGGCCATCCCTCTCTCTCTCTCTCTCTCGTGGAGCTCCTTCCTCCTCGGCGTCCCCGAGCGACTGACAGGACGCGCAATCAAGGCGACGCGCGGGGAGGAGCTTCCTCGCTCGCCACAGCCAATAGCGTCCTCGCTCCCGCCCTCCACGCCGCGCGCTATTGGTTCCCCCCGCTCCAAACAACGCAAAGGCCCGCCCCTCGCTCCGCCCCCCAACACGACGCCTGATTGGTTCCTCTCGCAGCTACGTTCCCGCCCCCCTTTAGGAGGAAAGGAGAAGGAATCGCAATAGGAGCCACGCCCACTCGGTACTTCGCCCCGCCCACTCGGTACTTCAGGGAAGCGCCGGGGCGTGGCCTAGGCTCGGAGGGGTGTGGCCAACTGCTCAATGCGGAAGTCGAAAAGAAACAAACAGCATGGCGGCGTGGTTGGAGCACACGCTCTTAAAGGGCAACACACACACAAATATATAAATGTATGATATATACGATTAGACTATAAATATATATTATAAATATATGATATAGAATTCTATGATATCATAAATTGTATTATAAATTATATAAAATTTTATATTAATTATATTATGAATTATATAAAAATAATTATATTATAAATAATTATAAATATATAATATAGAATTACATAATAAATTATAAATAATTATATTATTATTATTATATTATACGATTATTATTATAATTATTATATAATTATAATATAATAATTATTATTATTATTATAATATTATTATAGTTATTATATATATATTATTATAATTATTAATTATTATAATAATTATTATATATATTATTATAAATTATTATTATATATTATATATTTATATATATTATTATATTATTATAATATAATATATTATAATTATAATTATAATATTATATATATTATATTAGTAATATATAATAATAATATTATATTATATAATTTATTATATTTATATTATTATATAATAATTTATATTATAATTATAATTATAAATAATAATATATATTAATAATATTATATATTATATTATTATTAATTATAATTATTATAATATTATTATATTATATTATAATATAATATATTATATATTATTATATTATATATTATAATTATATATTATATATATATTATAATTATATATATTATATTATATTATTATATTAAATGATAAGTTATATAAAATAATTATATTATGAATATATAATATAGAATTATATATCATAAATTATATTATAAATTATATGAAAATAATTATGTTATAATTTATATAAAAATAATATTATATATATTATAAATATATAATATAGAATTATACAATAAATTATATTATAAATTATATAAAAATAATTATATTTTAAATTACATAAATTATATTATAATTTATATAAAAATAATATTATAATTGTATATTATAAATATATAAGATAGTATTATATAATAAATTAATTATAAATTATATAAAATAATTACATTATAAATATATAATCTCTAAACAAATATATAATACTTCTGCAATATATTTGTTGTTGTTCATTCGTTCAGTCGCTTCCGACTCTTCATGACCTCATGGACCAGCCCACGCCAGAGCTCCCTGTCAGATGTCACCACCCCCAGCTCCTTCAAGGTCAATCCAGTCACTTATATTACAATATATGCTGATATATGATTTGCATATTGTTTGTTTATTCGTTCAGTCGCTTCTGCCTCTTGGTGCCCTCCAGGACCATCCCAGGACAGAGCTCCCTGTCGGCCGTCACCACTCCCAGCTCCTTCAAGGTCAATCCAGTCACTTATATTAAAAAACCCCTTATGTTACCATATATGCTGATATATAATTTGCATTTTTTTTGTTTATTCGGTCAGTCGCTTCCACCTCTTGGTGACCTCGTGGACTATCCCAGGGCAGAGCTCCCTGTCAGCCGTGGCCGCCCCCAGCTCCTTCAAAGTCAATCCAGTCACTTATATTACAATATATTGACCCAAAATTAGTAAGAACATCAGCCCTGGCCTTGTCTTACTCAACTGCCGAGTATGTCTGCCCTGTTTGGCATAAGTCTACCTGTTCTGGCTCACTTTGAACCTGAGTTTTCTGAGCCTGAGTTTCCTCAGGACGAGGAGGATGATGGGTTACAGATTTCTGAACATGTCCCTGTTATTGAGGCAGACAGTGTTGATTCTGAAGAAGAGACGGCATTTCTGTTTCCCAGAGAAAGGAATGTTGTTTTAGATAAAGATAGTGAAACTTTACAGCTGCAAGTGGAAGAGTCGGCTCCATCTGGGAGTTCAGTGCCTCTCGGTTCCCAGGATAATGAGTTATCCAGCCTTGAAGATGGTGGAGATTTGATTAGGGAGGACCGTTTGCAATTAAGGGTTCGCCAAAGTGCATGGCTTGCCAACAAACGGGAAGTCTCGAGGTCAACGTAATGCTTTCATGCTGGGGAAACATATTTAACAATCCAATTGAAGTCTATCCTTTGTCAGTGCAATGTTGCTTAAACCCTGTTAACTTATCTGAAATTACCTCAGCTTTTGGGGAAAGCTTCTAGCTCTTTGGGACTTTGGTTTTGATCTTGATTTTTGTAGACCTTGTCATGCTGCCATGGATTCTTGTTTAACCAATGCTAAAGGATTATACTTCATGTTATTTACCTTTTAATCTTGGAAACTTTGCCTTTGCATTTAAGACTCTGCTTTGGCTATTGAACTTTTGCAACTTTACTTCTATGTTTTTGATTTTGCTTTTTCTTCAATAAACTACAAAACCTACAGCCTTGGTGTGTGGTGGTGTTTTGAGCAAGGCAAATCTATTCTGCTTTGCATGCGACACTGCCCATGCAAAGCAGGTGAATATAGCATTTAATGAAACATGCAGAATAATCACAGGATGTCTTAAACCTACACCTGTTGATAAACTCTCATTGAATGAAACATGCAGAATAATCACTGGAAGCCTTAAACCTACACCTGTTGATAAACTCTCATTGTATGAAACATGCAGAATAATCACAGGATGTCTTAAACCTACACCTGTTGATAAACTCTCATTGTATGAAACATGCAGAATAATCACTGGAAGCCTTAAACCTACACCTGTTGATAAACTCTCATTGTATGAAACATGCAGAATAATCACTGGATGCCTTAAACCTACACCTGTTGATAAACTCTCATTGTATGAAACATGCAGAATAATCACTGGATGCCTTAAACCTACACCTGTTGATAAACTCTCATTGAATGAAACATGCAGAATAATCACTGGAAGCCTTAAACCTACACCTGTTGATAAACTCTCATTGTATGAAACATGCAGAATAATCACTGGATGCCTTAAACCTACACCTGTTGATGAACTCTCATTGAATGAAACATGCAGAATAATCACTGGATGCCTTAAACCTACACCTGTTGATAAACTCTCATTGAATGAAACATGCAGAATAATCACTGGAAGCCTTAAACCTACACCTGTTGATAAACTCTCATTGTATGAAACATGCAGAATAATCACTGGATGCCTTAAACCTACACCTGTTGATGAACTCTCATTGAATGAAACATGCAGAATAATCACTGGATGTCTTAAACCTACACCTGTTGATGAACTCTCATTGAATGAAACATGCAGAATAATCACTGGATGCCTTAAACCTACACCTGTTGATAAACTCTCATTGAATGAAACATGCAGAATAATCACTGGAAGCCTTAAACCTACACCTGTTGATGAACTCACATTGTATGAAACATGCAGAATAATCACTGGATGCCTTAAACCTACACCTGTTGATGAACTCATTGTATGAAACATGCAGAATAATCACTGGATGCCTTAAACCTACACCTGTTGATGAACTCTCATTGAATGAAACATGCAGAATAATCACTGGATGCCTTAAACCTACACCTGTTGATGAACTCTCATTGAATGAAACATGCAGAATAATCACTGGATGCCTTAAACCTACACCTGTTGATGAACTCACATTGTATGAAACATGCAGAATAATCACTGGATGCCTTAAACCTACACCTGTTGATGAACTCTCATTGAATGAAACATGCAGAATAATCACTGGATGCCTTAAACCTACACCTGTTGATAAACTCTCATTGAATGAAACATGCAGAATAATCACTGGAAGCCTTAAACCTACACCTGTTGATAAACTCTCATTGTATGAAACATGCAGAATAATCACTGGATGCCTTAAACCTACACCTGTTGATGAACTCTCATTGTATGAAACATGCAGAATAATCACTGGATGTCTTAAACCTACACCTGTTGATAAACTCTCATTGTATGAAACATGCAGAATAATCACTGGATGTCTTAAACCTACACCTGTTGATAAACTCTCATTGAATGAAACATGCAGAATAATCACAGGATGTCTTAAACCTACACCTGTTGATGAACTCTCATTGTATGAAACATGCAGAATAATCACTGGATGCCTTAAACCTACACCTGTTGATGAACTCTCATTGTATGAAACATGCAGAATAATCACTGGATGTCTTAAACCTACACCTGTTGATAAACTCTCATTGTATGAAACATGCAGAATAATCACAGGATGTCTTAAACCTACACCTGTTGATAAACTCTCATTGTATGAAACATGCAGAATAATCACTGGATGCCTTAAACCTACACCTGTTGATAAACTCTCATTGTATGAAACATGCAGAATAATCACTGGATGTCTTAAACCTACACCTGTTGATGAACTCTCATTGAATGAAACATGCAGAATAATCACTGGATGTCTTAAACCTACACCTGTTGATAAATTCTCATTGAATGAAACATGCAGAATAATCACTGGATGTCTTAAACCTACACCTGTTGATGAACTCTCATTGAATGAAACATGCAGAATAATCACTGGATGCCTTAAACCTACACCTGTTGATGAACTCTCATTGAATGAAACATGCAGAATAATCACTGGATGTCTTAAACCTACACCTGTTGATAAACTCTCATTGTATGAAACATGCAGAATAAT